AAATCTGTTCTGATTCAGTTATACTTTGTTTCATTTTCATTATGTGCATGTCAGGCACGATGCACATTCATAATTGAAAAAGCAAAACAAAATGTAATATCCCAACACCACAGGGCTGATTTCCCTAGTTCAGCAAGTTATATTCATTCTTATAAATGTGTAAAATAAACAAACATGACAACTTTTATGCTTCACAATCATGCATACATCAGAGAAGGACTCACAAGCCCACTGCTGCAGTGTGACAGTACAATGTAGTTATACAGCACCTACCTGACTCTCCAGCTGCAGGGCTTTAAGTTTAACCTCTCGGAGCTCCGCCTGGGCTTGAGCCTCCCTCAGCCTAACCGTCATCAGTTTGTCCTGCAGCTCATTCATGGCGTTCTTCTTCGGCGATTCCTTCCAGTGCCCGCCCCCACCACCAGTGCTGCTGCTACGGGACATATGATGCTGCGAAAGAGCAGACAGGTGTAACTGGCCGCTGGTACATTATGCGCACTCATGCACTCCACCAAACAGATGAGAGATCTGTTCCCATTTTACCTGCCAGCGCTGGTTCAGCTCAGTGACAGCCTCCTGCATCTCCCTGAATGAGCGCAGCGTCTCCAGCTCCCTCAGCTTCATTTGCTTCACTTCTTCCTGCAGGGTCGCCAAGTTGTTCTCATCTGGCAGGCAACTGCTCCTCTAGATAGTAAACATTTCATGGTTATAAGTTAGCAAATTCACACACGCAGCCTAATGCATATATGAAGACGTACATGGGAAAGGTTTTATGAGGAAGGGAATCCTTATTAGATTTCAGTGAAACACAATATACCTTGGTGATTAATACAGAATGTACCACAGTACCTACAGCATTATTGTTATTATTATTATCATCATTATCGTTAATAATAATAATAATAATAATTAACAATAACTACTTTTGTAACACTTGAATAGAAACCACACATTAAAGAATTGTATGCATCTTAATATATAATATATAATATATACAAACAGTGGTGTGAACCACAGCTGAAATGGGCCCTGATCAGATGATAAGAGAAGCTGACTGCTAGAGTAAGGTCTCAGCAGATCTGCTATATCTAAACACGAGCCTGGTCACATGAGGCTTTGCATGTAGGTAATCTAATTTTAAAATTCTAAATCTTACAGGACTAAAAGAAAGCAATGATAGAGCTGATGTGTGAGCAGTGGTGAGAACTTCTGGCTGAAATGAAGATGGACCAGAGGAGACTGAGGGGTGCACATTCATGGGAGATAAAATAATCTAGACATGGGAAAGCATAGGAGTTTAGTTTCAAATTATTGACTTACAGGAAATGTTGTTTTTCCTAGATAAGAAAAACAGCTTTAGCTCGCCAAGCGTTCAAATGCTGGTCAAAAACAGAATCAAGTTTTTTAGCAGATAATTTGAAATTGGTGACGAGGGGGCCGATGTAGCAACTGACCTGCTTTGTGACGCTGCTGAATGAAAACCTCAGTTTTGATCAGATATTACATTTGCTAAATGTGCCCATGCCTAATCAGCGGCATCTGTAACCTGACGACGAGGAGTCGACAGACTTATTAAATGTAGTATGAGAGGGACAGGAATAGATTATTACAACTATCTGATATATGAAATTTTGTTCAGACATCAGACAGTTGTGAGGTTGTTTCACTCCTAACCAAAGTGGTGCAACAACCCACTAATAAAAACATTAGCATGTTTACCTCCTGACTACAAACCAGCAGGTTTGTCAATCTTTGAGACGCTGTATAAGCAAACAAAAGGTTTGTCCAGTTTTGAGTTAATTTTCAGTAAAATCTTCATCGGGAAGCAGCAGAGCGTTTGTGTTCCAACACCTCATCAAGTGAAAATGAAAGCTTGAGAAATGGAACGTGTCTGTCATTTGTTTGAGTGTTTGGATTAAACGTTAGACAGGTTGGTTAACGGTCAGACAGACTTTACCACATTCACAGAATCACACGCCTTCTGTCTGCTTGCTGTTCACACTATTCTCTTTCACATAGTTTCAAAAAAAAGAAAGAAAAAAAAAGGCATGTTTGTGAGCTCACCTTTTCCAGATCGAGCACCTTGTCTTGCATTTCCTTCAGAGCTCCAAGTAGTTCGGCCTCGCGGAGCCTCGACTGCTCCAGCTCGGTCTGCAGATTGCTCACAAACTGCTCTGTGTACTGAAACAAACATCCTAGTGTTAAAGATATAATGTAGGTCAACTTTTATTTATTTTAGTTTTAGTTGAGCAGCCTTTTCTACCTGGTATTTGTATACTGATATTTATTTATTGATGAGACAATTAGGTTTTTGAACAGAGCTTGGCTTCCATTTCACTCTCATTTGCAGACCAGTTTAACAGTTCAGCTAAGATTACCACAATCTTGCAAGGGGTGAAAACTCAAGGTAGTGTTATGTATCTGTCTTTCGGTTTCTTTTACATTTAGTTTCCTGAAAAAGGAAGAAACGGGAGACAAGGAATTCCACAGAGAGATGGAAACATGACCTATCAACGAGCTATTTGTGGGGGAATAAATGGACGTGATTCCCAGCAGCAGCGTTAGACTTACACTTTTCTAAAAAATAAACCAAAAGCATCCATTCTCAACTGCAACTAGTGAGCGAGTGAAATCCAAATATGTTACCTACGCCTAGAAATGTCTGTGTACAACCTTCAAAACAGCCGACAACCTAAATTTAGCTGCCATGAAGGTGCACTTGTGTCCCGCTGTCTGTGATGTCAGCATGCTACTGTACACTAACATGTCACCACATCAAGGGGAAACTGCAAAGCTATGAATATGAAAGCAGCAAAGAAAAAAAAAAAAGAGAGCTGAGTGGAAAAATACTTTCCAATGAGGCAAATTACAAACGCTTGAAATCGGGCAAGTACATAGCGTGACTGCAAGATTCGTGATTTGTCATTTTTGGCTTCTCAGTCTTGGTTATCAAAGAAGATTGAGAGTGTCTGGAGGTGTGTGAACCCTGGTGGGTGATGGGTACCAGCAATCTGAGCTGGAATAGACGCACACGTAACAATGACATCATTTAGAGAAAAATCAGTGACTGGAGTTTTTCTTTTAAAGCAAAGCAAATTATAATTTTAGTGAACCATCTGCTCCCTTCACATCGTGCTGTTGCTTTTCACACCACCTTCCCACAGGTAGGTGTGAGTTGAACCTATAAATATTAAGAGCAAAGCTTTGGTTAACAGCACTGGCAAAGACCACAAAACTTTTTTTTTTTTTGAGTAAGTCAGTAAAGCGGTTGCGGAACATACAGAAACTGACATGCATACATTTACTCATGTGGAAAAGCAAACGTGGGTGTTCTCTGTTAAACCCAATGTGGCGTTAAATACTAAATACTATACTAAACATCATATTTACTAGAAATTCACAGTAGAGAAGCAGAGTCTCTCGTACATATAAAAATGTTTGGAAAGTCAGTTTTCATATTTTTCCTTGAACAATATTATATGTAAAAATAAATAATATTAAAATATGTTATTTATACTGTTTTGGGAGGCAAATACAGTTTATACATGAATTACATGTTAAATTACACCCAACTCTAATTTGTATAATAATTCCAATATCGTGTGACTCACAGAACTTGAATGAATTAAAAACAAAAATCAGTCATCCTATAATGTAGGATCACTTCTTTTAACTTTACAGTACTATGCACCAAATACAGTTTGATTAGCTTTTCCTTCAGTGTTTAACTGAAACCACGTTTTAATAATCTATGCTACATTAACAAAACAAGTTTCAACATTTAATCATAGTCACACTATTACTTCCAATCAGGCTTGTATCACACGTACAGCAACTCAAAACAACAAACAGCTGCTCTATAAAATGTACACGTGCAACCTTTACAGCCGCCATCAGTGTTACGTGCGACCTCAGCCTGTTGGTCCAGTTTTTTATTGTCACCCTGATTAACCTGCGCCCTCTTTCTTTGCAGATTCATTGTTAGTGTTGGCTGCTGATGGCTTGCTGCATGAATATAAACCCGGAGAAAGTGGAGCAGGAGGGTCGGCCATTGGCGTCTTGGATCCCACCAGATCTCCATCAGCACAAGCTTTACCAATCTGTTGCTTTCATAGCTTTGTTTATTCTGTACAGGTTGAGTCGGGAGCTCCTGGAACTACTGTTTTCAGTTTGGTTTCTGTTCTTCTAGTTTTCCAGGACTAGTTTGAGTGAGAAGTCTGTATTCGATGGCCCATTGTGTGATTGGTTCATGGTCTTCTTCCTCTTTGTTTGTTTTAGCTGGGGCTCACATCTCTTTTTGTTCTGTCCTTTGGGAGTAACTATATTTCCATTACTAAAAGCTTGTTGAATGGCACCCGTAACAGTCAGACTGGCTTCACTGGCGTCCAACAGTATTTTTTAGACAGTGATAGGTTCCACATTATTTGGCTCTCCTCCAGAGCTAGACTAACTAGATTTCACCTCATAAACCTCACCTCACCTCCATGGTGTGAAAACTGTAGAAGTCTTTGTGCCTCATCTGTATGTAAACATCTTGCTAAAACAGAACTTGAACGGTTTCATTTTTGGGTGCTGAGCTTTGCACCTTTGCGGGGTTAGCTCACGGGTTAATCACAGATTTTCTTTGAAGGTTTGTGAGAAAATACAAATGCGTGACTCACTACTTTGTTATCAAAGCAGCATAAAGAACATATCGGAAACAAATCAACGCTAGTCTGACTAGTCTGACCATATTTGAGAGGCGCAGTCGGCCCCGATTGTTTTTTTTATCCGTTTTCCACAAGCTTGTATAAAATATAGCATTAGTACATCACTCCCACCATGGGATAACTTAAACGAGCCATTACTATGAGTCAGTCTGACAGTCTGTTCATACCAAGCTGCAACGTTTGAGTTTGAAAACTGAAAACATCGCCGCAAAGACTGACTGACAGGTACCAATCCAGCTTCAGCTAATCGCTTCCTGCTAATTCACTGAGCTCAACCTCCCCACTGTGTTAGTACTGGAACAATTGTATATTTGTAATTATACATATATTTTACTTATATTTTATTTAACTTGCGTGAGTTAGCTGACAAGTTTGCGCACCACTCTCTCATCCAAATTAGGGATGTGTGCGACTAGTCGACTAGATGACTAATCTAGTTAAGTGGAATGATTCATTGTTGAAGAAGTTGATTAAGTGTTTAAAAAGCCTTTGTTATTAGTTTTTGGCATTAAACGGTTCTCAAATTTACTTAATATCTGAGTGTTTCTTGGTTTTAGACTAGTTGGTTAGTCTGATTTTTTACCCCATGTTTAAATGACTAAGAAATCAGTCACCAGGAAGATTCCTAATCCAAATTTTTCCACAATTGGCCAACATAGCACCAGCCAGAAGGGCAACTTTGGCGCTTCACAAATGATGCTATAGTGGCTTTGTCCTTTTTCCATATACAGTCTATGACTGGCTCATACTAACAATCATACTAGAGTGTGTGTGTGTGTGTCTTTGACAACAAAGTGAACTTTGATATATTCGGTTACTTGACAAAGTTGTAAACCTTTTGATATACTGACATTGAAATCTGATCAAATTGTGTTGCATTCTAGTGAAATCACTTAAACGTTTGCGACATTTGTGCCCTGATTTTGAGTCCAAATAATCTGACAAATAGTAAAAACATTATCAGGAAATACACAGCTTACAGAGCCTATCTGTAAGTTAAATATAGGACAACATAAAGACTGTAGGCAGGAGGGAAACAGTTCATCTTGCTATCTTGGTTCATTTATTAATTCATTCTTTTACCCTCTGTTGTTGTAGCTCTCGGATGGTGTCCTGTGCTTTCTCAAGGTTCTCGCTAGCTGTGGTGCACTGCTGCCTCACCACCGCCAGCTCTCGCTTGATCACATAGTTCTCCTCTGCTTCCTGCGCCCTAGTCACCTGACCCTGGAATAGTGCGACCAAAATAGGATGACATTTAAAATCATCAGTGGAGTGCAATTTTCAAATTCAGACTATGCAGGGGGAAAAGGGTGGTTCCAGGCAAAACCACAATATAATGGTTATAGAGAACTTTGCTTCATGTCATACTGAGAGTCAACATTTTAGTAAGGAGATTTATTTGCTTTCTTGTAAATCGCCTACCTGAGGATATCACTCACACTCTTACATCTGTCCTTTAAAGCTAAAGCTAACAACCAGCTAGCTCAGTTTAGCATGATGAATTGAAACACAGACAGAAAGCTAACCTGGCTGTATCAGAAAGCAATAAAAAAACTTAAAACTCAGTCTCAGTCTCTATTTTTTAACAATTATTAGATCTCAAGCATGACCATGAAGAAAACAAGTTTCTGGTGTATTTTTTTCTACAATTTTGTACAAATTAAATCAAACACATTCAATATCAAATCACGTATCTATACCTTCTAGAGCGTTTAGCAAGAAAGCAAATAAATGTACATTTCATTCAAATTTTCCTTAATTGTAGGTATTCAAATATAAATGAATGATAGTAATAGCTGAACTTCAACATGCTTCATGCAGGATTGTACAACGTCATCAGTCTCCATCATGGATAAATACTACATGCATTCAGGCATTAAAGGATTGTCTTGTGGGCTAGAGACAAATATACGATGTAAACAAAAAGCTTTCATGCACTTTTGGCAGGATGCTGTTACAGGAGAGGGAGAGAAGCAATGCAGGACGGTAGAGGAGCAGAGTGTGAGTACGACAAAGGACAGCAAGGTCAGTGGGAAAGTGGTTTACAGTACTCTACCTGTATCAGTCTGTCTGCAAGAGCAGCACTCTCCTACAGCGCAACAAAGGAGAGGAACAAGAGGATGAAAATAAAGAGATGAAGAGAGTGAAAAGCAGTGGGTCACCAGGAAGGATAAAACACAAGAAAAACCAGGATGAATTCCAAAAGGAGGGACGTAAGAAAAAGTTGAGATACCAAACACAGACATGTTTGTGAGGGAATAAAGAGGCAGCAGTGAGATCATTCAGAAAACAATTTCACAGAAGAGGAAAATATGAACAAAAGCAGCGTGCTGAAACAGCACAGAAGGCGGGCACACGCAGGTGCACACACACACACAC